CCTCCGGGAACTGCTGACGCCAAGCGTCTGTCAGGCGGCCAAAGCAGCGCTGAGCGGGGTGGGCACCCCCACACTGCTCTCCAGTGCGGTCGCCAGTGCGGAGAACGTAGGTGCAGGGACCAAAACCCCCACCGCGCTGACGCTGCGTGTACCACTCACGGAGCTACTGGGGGGTGAGGACGTCGCGAGAACGTTGCTGCTGCTGTTGCTGCTGCTGTTGGCGCTGACCGCCACCAGTGCCGCTCCGCTGCGAAGCCCCACTCCGACCACCTCCACCTCCGCCACCCCCGCCTCCGCCTCCACCGCCCCCGCCCCCACCTCCACCGCCGCCACCTCCGCCACCTCCGCTACCACCGCCACCGCCGCCGCCACTCCCGCCGCCACCGCTGCCACTAGCACCCCCACCCCCACTACCACCTCCACCGCCACCCCCACTCCCTTCGCCGCCTCCACCCCCACCGCCACCGCCCCCACTGGCCCCACCCGCTCCCTTGCCCCCCTTGCCCTTGCCAGAGCGGCGTCTCCCGCTAGGGGCAGACGCCGCACCGACCGACTCAAGACCAACGAGGTCGGCCGCAGCGGCAGAGGCAACAGAGGGCAGGAGAGGGGAAGGAGAACACCCCTCAAAGATGGGGGCGCGTGGGTCACCTCGAGAGGCTCCTACAGCAACTATGCTCTTCTCTGCTGCAAGAAGGGCCTTCTCGAGGCTGTCGACGGTGAGGGTGGTGGGACAGACCGCAAGGAAGTGGTCCCGGACTACACGAAGGGAGTCAGGGAGGCGAGTGACTAGGAAGTAGAGAGTGATGTACATGGGGGGGGGGTTCTTGGCGCAGAAGTCAGCAGGAAGTGCAGCGCGGTAGCGAGTGTCACTAGTGCGGAGGTTCGTGATGAGATCAGTGACAGTGGGAAAGGCGGCAAGGTCAGGGAAGAGGAAGGGGAGCATGAGGCGGCTCAGTGCAGCAGTGGCAGGGGAGGAGTAGCGTGCAACTACAGCGTCGTACAAGGTCTGAGCACTCTTGTACTGGCTAAAGTGCGCGCGCTCGGCGGTAGGCAGGTGGCGACGCACAGCAAGACGTGCAGCAGCATCGCGCGTGGCCCACTGAGAGCGAACAGTGGCGTCAGCATCAGCAGCAGGGGCAGGGACAGCGCCAGAGGTGAGGTCAAAGAGAGACAGACTGTCGGCCCTGTCGCACTGTAAAAACAGCTGCAAGTCGTCGAGCCAGACCTCAAAGTCAATGGCTCGACCCTCAGCGTCAAAAGCGAGGACACTGGGTGTAGCCATGACGACGACAGTGGCGCAGTGCAAGCAGTAGGGGAAGGGTACGCAGTGACAGCAGTGCAGTGCTCACCGGGCAGGGCAGGTCGGGCGGCTCAGGAGGAAGGTCGCCAGACGACACGGCCGCTAGGCTGCTGGGCGGCTCGGCTCCCGGGCGGCTCGGCTGCTGCTGGGCGGCTCGGCTGCTGTAGGGCGGCTCGGCTGCTGCTGGGCGGCTCGGCTGCTCCTGGGCGGCTCGGCTGCTCCTGGGCGGCTCGGCTGCTGCTGGGCGGCTCGGCTGCTGCTGGGCGGCTCGGCTGCTGCTGGGCGGCTCGGCTGCTGCTGGGCGGCTCGGCTGCTGCTGGGCGGCTCGGCGGCTCGTCTGCTGCTGGGCGGCTCGGCTGCCGCTGGGCCGCGTAGGTAGGGCGGCCGGGCCGCGAAGGTAGGGCGGTGGGTGGGCCGCAGGTAGGGCGGCGGGTGGGCCGCAGGTAGGGCGGCGGGTGGGCCGCAGGTAGGGCGGCGGGTGGGCCGCAGGTAGGGCGGCGGGACGCCGCAGGTAGGGCGGCGGACGGCCGCAGGTAGGGCGGCGGGTAGGCCGCAGGTAGGGCGGCGGGACGGCCGCAGGTAGGGCGGCGGGACGGCCGCAGGTAGGGCGGCGGGTAGGTCGCAGGTAGGGCGACGGGACGGCCGCAGGTAGGGCGGCGGACGGCCGCAGGTAGGGCGGCGAGTGGGCCGCAGGTAGGGCGGCGGGACGGCCGCAGGCAGGGCGGCGGACGGCCGCAGGCAGGGCGGCGGGACGGCCGCAGGTAGGGAAGCGGCGGGGCCGCGTCGAGGAGGCAGCGGGGCCGCGTCGAGGAGGCGGCGGGGCCGCGTCGAGAAGGCGGCGGGGCCGCGTCGAGGAGGCGGCGGGGCCGCGTCGAGGAGGCGGCGGGGCCGCGTCGAGGAGGCGGCGGGGCCGCGTCGAGGAGGCGGCGGGGCCGCGTCGAGGAGGCGGCGGGGCCGCGAGGGGAAGGGCGACACGGAGGGTCGCGAGAAAAAAAAAACGCGCGCCTCGGGGCGCGCTTCGGTGGGCCCTAGAGAACAGTCCCTAGGATGGGACCTGCTCTGATTCCATGTGAAAATAGAAACGTGAATGAGTTGACTACGAACGAGGTGAGTACAAATAGGAAACCCTAATTGGGTTGTACCCCCTATGGGATACCCCACTATAGCCTACACAAACAAGTAAGCTACAATGTTCTGACACGTACCTCCATTATCTCCACTTTCCTTTCTGCGAATAAGCAAAGGAAAGACTACAAAGTTATAGGGAAAATGAAACAACATCAAGCGGATGAAAGACGACTTTGATAAATCGCAATGGTGGAGAGACAAGAGACGGAGTAAAACAGATTTAGGAATGGCATAATAAAAATAAACTTCACGTGTGTACCTCCATTATCTCCACTTTCCGTTCTGCGAATAAGCAAAGGAAAGACGACAAAGTTATACGGGAAACGAAAAAACAATCTGCTTGGAAAGACGACTTTGATAAATCGCAATGGCGGAGAGACAGAGTATAACATATCTAGGTAACAAAATCAGATCCGCATAACCGTACGACTCACCATGATTGATTATCATTCTGTCGCCTAAGACTCTCATGTTGTGTTGACACTCGTTTTCTGCCAGAGGAAGGTACATAACGGGAAGCAATAAAATATATTAGAAGCGTATAGATTTAAGAAAATTGACAGGCGGCGCGGTAACTGATAGATCTGTAGAAACAGCTCATCGATGGCGACGTTTAAGGGTTAGGGAGCGAACAGATAAGGACCAGGGAACGGCAAGATAAGGACTCCTAGAAGATAGGAAAGGCTGAGCTACTAGCTGGCAAGATAATAGCGAGATTAAAACATGGAACACGTAGAAGTGAAACAGAAATGCTGAAGTGAGTGGACAAGAAGGGGGAATGTCGAGAAGGTGGGGTTGTGGATGGTTAGTTGAGGGCGCGTCCACTGAATGGCGATCCTGCGGTCGATCCTACGCAGGTTCGATTCTCAACGTGGTTAAGTGAAATGTCCAGATGTTTTCAGTGCAATGCGCGAGGTTTTGTTACGGTACTAGATCGGTTTTTGCACGATCTAGCCAGAGAGAACGCGTCATGATGCGATGAGGTGTTTGTATGGCAGATGGCGCGACAAGTGGCGACAGGTGGCGCGATAAGGATAACAAACAACATCTCGATTTTTCTGTTCCAAGGTTCTGTCTTTTTGTCAAACAACCTCCGTCATTTGTGTGTCCGGTGGTCGATAGTGTTTACGATTGGATACTAATCCGATGGTTGTTAGATCGAACCCAATCATCGCGCTGCCAGATATTTTGTTTTTTTACAAACAACATTCTTCTAAGTCAATAGAAAATTGGAGTCGACAACTGCCAACGACAAGTATCGAACCCGCATCCCCAGATCCCCAAGGGCTGTGCGGGGCAAGTTACTTTTGGGTCAAAAAACTCACTGACCCAGAACTGACCCTGTTTTGACCACTAACCCCAATTTGACCCCAAAGAAACTCTGGGGGCATTAACAGGACAGGCTTGGGTCAGGCCGGAAGGTGGGTCACGCTAGGGTCAGAAACATTTTGGTGATGCTATGACATTTGGAACGCCTCTCGCGGCCCTAAATTCGGCTTCCATTTTGACCATCTCTTCTCGAGTGGGAAACCATACCCATGCCTCTTTGAAACGACGGGGAAAGTGGAGAAGGAAGCAATCAACTATCAGGTGGCACGTTGTTTTAGGGACTCCCCAGAAAATACTCATGTCTAAATATGACATCCCGGTAGCGAGGTACTTAATGGGGATCAAAATGCAGAGACGCAAGGGGACTTTGTACCGACGCACGATGATCCGGAAAGGAATCTCCATGTGACTGACTATGTAGTCCAGTATGGCCCGATTAATGCGGAATAGCTCGATGAATTCTGCTTCGCTCATGCTTTCAATACGATCCATCCATTCTGATTGTCGGGCGTTTCTGTACTCCTTCAGCCTCTGCAATTTTTCTCTGCGAGCAACAGCAGCTTGCTGGTCTATGGCTGTGCAGGCCATATACATGAGGATGGCGTCAAACTCCTCGTCGTCTGCTTGCATCCATGCTATGGTGCTTGCTATGGCTAGTGCTATGTGAGGTAGAATGTGTGTCATTGTGAGAAAGTGGCGATTCCGAGCGTCCTGGGTAGGTTGGTTATGTAGGTTGTAGAGCATGTGCTGTGTGGTGACCGTGAAACGAAATTGCTTTCTGCTGTTGGATTGGCGCCTGTTTTTCCTTATCCATTTGTCACGTTATTCTTTGACCTTTCTGAACGTGCCGAACCCAGTCACGACTCGGTCCTGTGACAGTCAAAAACGTCAGTGGTTCTGACGTTGGGCGTCAGGGGAAGTTGCCATGCGCAAAAATCGCACGACCCTCACCGCCCAACTCATGCGACGTCCAGATTCACTCCCCCCGTTGCTGCCATGCCTTAGGCACGTGTTCTGTGCACTGTTGCTGGGGGAAGTTCGGATGGGGCCCCATCTCAGGAACGCCATCTTATCTTTCCGCTCTCTCGTCTCACCTTGCGACCTGACATTCAGCAAATCCTCACAAATCCTCCGCTCTCCACGGCGCCTTCATTGAACGCTACCTAGAATGGCGCATTCGCATCCATTAAGAATGTCTATAACTCGTGAAGCGGGAACGCGGGGTGAGAAGCTTTCCCCGTCAATGGCCCACAGGGCTCGAGCCATGTCGATCAACCATTTGCCTGACGACCTTCTTTCCAAAATTATCTCACTTGCCGCCACCGCCGCCACCGCCGCTGCAGAATCGACATCAGAACTTGGCGGCACGGATAACGGCCAGACTGGCGAGACAAACTTCACGGATATCCCCAATTTTAGCAACCTCGCGGTGGTTTGTAAGCGATGGTTGTTTCTGATGACGACCCTCCGCGTCCCTGGCGCTTTTAAGTCAGACTCCCCCAAACTCCGCGGTACCGAGAAGCTCGCGATGGCGCTTTCCGCCCCCACGATCTCCGCGCCCGCGCTTTTCCGCACGCCGGCGCTCGCGCCGAGCGTTACGGCGCTTTCTCTGGAAGCATACGCCGTCGATATTTACGACGACGAGTTTCTGTCTAGCCTGCTTTCCGCGCGGCCTCGGCTCGCCCGCCTGAGCATCGGCTCCCCCCGCTTCACCGGAACGCCCCACTTTCGAATCGGCACAGAATCTGTCGAGAATTTCTTCCGCGTCGCGTCGTCGCGCCTGGAGGAGCTCTCGCTGCGCGAATGCCTCGGCCACACAACGAAGCTCCCTGCCTCCGCCGCGTTGCTGTCGTCGCTGCGCGTGTTCCACCTGTGCTCCAAGGTTCTGCGCTCGCTGCCCGACGAGATCTGCCAGCTGTCTGCCCTGCAGGAACTTTATCTCACCTGCCCGTTGCTGCAGCAGCTGCCCGGAAAAATTGGCCAGCTAACGAGGCTGGAGCACCTTTCGTTTACGGGCTGCAAAGAAATGCGGCACCTGCCGGATTCGCTCGGCGATCTCTCGTCGCTCACCTCTCTCCACATCGACGGCGCGTGGCAGGTGGATCGCCTCCCGCCTCGCATCGGCGCGCTGCAGCAGATGCGGCGACTGGACCTGCGGAATTTCCGAGGCGGGTTACCAGAGGCATGCGAAAATTGGGCGAAACTCGAGCAAGTCACTCTGGCTTCGTGCACCGACATGCGCAGTTGCCAGCTCGCGTCCGTGCACTTGCTCATGCATCTCACGATCAGCGCCTGCCGGGAGCTCTAGTCGCTCCCGGCCAACCTGCCCTTCGCGACGGCATTGCGTCATCTAACGCTCGATCGTCTCGGTTTCGACGTGTCCCTCGAGCCGCTAAGCGGTCTGGTAGCTCTAGAGCGGCTGCACGTGTCAAGCGTCGACCGGGAGGAGCGCTTTCACGAGGCTCTCTTCGCGCTGCCGTCCCTGGCGCACGTGAAATTGCGCAATGTCGGGTGGCTCGAGCCGCCCGACGTGACGGATATGGAGAACTCGAGGGAGGTCGTCGCCGCAGCGGACACAGCCGCCGCAGCGGACACAGCCGCCGCAGCGGACACAGCCGCCGCAGCGGACACAGCCGCTGCCGCAGCAGCCACTTTCGCAGCAGCAGGAGGTGCGGCAGGTGATACCACTTACCACACGGAGCTCGGCCCGTCTCTGAAGAATCTCAGTATCCGCCTGGGCAGGACTCTTGAAGAGATGCTAGGGTACGGCAGGCAAGGCAGCCATACGCTCTCCTCTCGTCTCTGCTCGCTGCTCTCCCGCGCGCACCTCTCGATCGACTGGCTCTCCGCCTCCGCCAGACTCCCTTCCAACCTGGGTTCCCTGCACAACCTGCGCTCTCTCTCCCTCCGCGGCACCTCGCTCTGCCTCCCATACTCCCTCTCCCACCTCGCTTCGTGCCTGCACTCCCTCAAGCTGCACTACAGCGGCGCCAGTGACGCGGACGCCTTTCACCGGAATCTGCCGCCCTGTCTCCCGCTTCTCACCTCCCTCACAAACCTCCACCTTCACAACATGTACCTGCCGTTGTCCCCTCCGCTTGCCTTTGCCCGCCTACGCGCTCTCCGCACACTACGCATCGAGTATGACATCACCTTCCCCAGCCACGTGTCCTTTCTAGAAGACCTGGGCCAGCTGTCAGCCTTGGAGTGGCTGGAGCTGAAGTACTGCTCCATAAGTCCAGGGCTTCCGCAGTCACTCTGTGACCTGGGCTCTCTGCGGCGGTTGTACCTCGGCAGCAAGACTCTAAAGCACCTGCACACGGCAATCTCTAGGCTGTCGCACTTACAAGAGCTAACGATATCCTGGTGTTACAGAATGGAAGCTTTGCCTCCAGGGCTTGGCTGCCTGGGAGCACTACAGAAGCTGAGTATCAGTGGCGCGTCGGGGGATTACCTTCCTGACACTCTGGCCGGCTTATCTTTTCTCGAGGAGGTGTCTTTGGATCAATGTTCTGACGGGTTGATTTTTGAGTCGACTCAACGATCAATGTTCTGACGGTTTCCGCCTGCCGTGTTTTGAGTCGACTCAAAACACACCATGTTCTGACGGTTTCCGCCTGCCTCCCTCCTTCTGCCTCCTCCCTCGCCTGCTCTCGCTTACTATCACCAGCTGCGGTGACCTCACCACACTGCCCGATAAGGCTCTCTATGCTCCCTGCAGCGTCTCTCTGTCGACTCGTGCAAAAATTTCCACCATTTTCCCGACTCTTTCTCCGGCCTTTCCGCCCTGACCCTCCTCAGCATCTTCAACTGCCCGGGATTCTCCCACCTTCCTGAGACCTTTGGCTTCTTGCCCCGCCTAACCCGCCTCAAAATTGCCGAATGCGGATCATTCACGCACCTTCCTAGCTCCTTCTCCTCCCTATCTGCCCTCCAAGTGGCCTGCTTTAGCCTCTGCAAGCAGTTGCACTCCCTCCCTCACACACTCGGACTTCTGCCTCGCTTAGAAGTGCTTCAGTTGAGGCAGTGCGTGGCACTCAAGCGTTTACCGGAGTCGCTCCGAGAGGCGAGGGCTCTGCGGCATGTGGATGTGTATGGGAGTGGTGTGGCAGAGGAAGGGGTGGAGGTGGGTGTTTGTGCGAGTAAAGTGCATGTTGTGAGGGGGAGGATGTCAGAATGTTATTTGTGTAGCCTGCAGTGGGGTGCTCAATAGTGAGTACAACCCCTTAGGGTTTGCTATTTGTGTGTCCTGCTGCTTGCTAATCCCACCTCATTCTTCCAATTCTCCTTCGCAAACCCTAACTCCTACCTCTAGAGCGCACACACCTACCTCCTAGTGTGGGCCTAGGCTACTAAGCCTAGGCCCCACTACCTACTATTCTAACAGAGGATGGGACGGGCGGAGCACGTGGGGACGAAGGAAAAGGGGAGGAAAGGGAGAGGTTGTGTGGATGTGAAGTTGGAGGAAGGATACCGTAGTGCTGTGCTGGCCCTTGAATGAGTAGAGGATGTACGGAGCAATGGTACGGTACTGTATCTTCCGGACAATTTTTCTGTGATATGTTAGGAAATAGGCAGGGTGGATGGAACAGTTCTGAAAGGCCCCCATTGGTACCGTATTTGTTGTACTAAACAGCTTGTCAATGGCATTGAACATGAACAAGAGCTTTATGTTAATCATTATGCTTAACATGCATTCCGTTCTTTATCTTAGTCATTATGCTTGACTCTGTTCTGTTCTACTATGTTTCACATGCACCTATTGTAGCTTATTGCTTCAAAGGCATCACGTTGCTAACATCAATGCCCTTTTCACATCCAAAATACGGTAGGCTAATAAACACTTGTTAATTACCTGTACAAAATAAGGTCTCCCTCTCCAATCGTCTAAAAGCCTTCATGAAGTGGAAGCACATGTTTGGAGCGTCAGGGACATAGTTACCCAGTGCACTAACAACAATCTTCAGATAACTGGCGTATGACTCAATATGACACGTCATGGCCTGCAGGTGGGGAGGCAAAGAATTAGGCCAACATTCTACGATAATCGAATGCACATGACTTTTAACGTTTACCATATCAATGCGTGTGCGTGCGCACCTGGTGTTGGCCCACTGTAGTTATAGTAAGTGCCGAAACAACATGCCCTAAGAGAGTCAGCTTTCCCTTCGGCCCGGCAATGTTGGAGACTGTGATTGAGGTCTGTTGGGACACCCTCGCAAACAGCCATGCCATCACCTGTTGTGAAGCACAAAAAGAGCGTATGTTGGAAACATGGGTTAAAAGGAAAAAAAGAAAGAAAAAAAAGAGAACAGGTCATGGCAAACAGAGCTAGTTGAGGAAGATGCAGGTGTGTCGGAGGATGTCAGGGGATGTCAAAGGATGTATGTGAACAGGGAGCAGGCCCTGAGACAGGACATGATCCGCGCACACCTCTTGTCATGTCAGACGATGGTACTCTCCCAACCCTGCGCCCACCACCCACTAGCCTTGCCTTGCGGCCCAGCACGGCGAGTGCCAGGCAGGCATAGAGGTTGGTGAGATAGGCCTCCAAGGACACCTTCCAATCCCATTGCCGATCGCCCTACCATGCATCACCCAGCTTGTATTCCCCACTCTCCCTACCTTGCGGCCCAGCACGGCGAGGGCCAGGCGGGCATAGAGGTGGGCCTCCCAGGACACCTTCTTCTGCCCACACTCCGCCCGCACTCGCTGCACTTCCCTCATACCCCTGCCCCACTATGTCTCCAGTCCCACACCCATACCCTCCAACCCATTACCTTGCGTCCTAGAAGTGCGAGAGCCAGGCGGGCATAGAGGTTGGTGAGGTGGGCCTCCCAGGACACCTTCTTCTATTACACTCCGCCCTCCCTCGCTGCATTCTTCTCATCCCCGCGCCCCATCATGACTCCATTCCAATACCCAGTCCATCCCCTCCAGCTTCCCTACCTTGCGGCCCAGCAGCGCGAGGGCTAGGCGGGCATAGAGGTTGGTGAGGTGGGCCTCCCAGGACAGCTTCTTCTATTACACTCCGCCCTCACTCGCTGCATTCTTCTCATCCCCGCGCCCCATCATGACTCCATTCCAATACCCAGTCCATCCCCTCCAGCTTCCCTACCTTGCGGCCCAGCAGCGCGAGGGCTAGGCGGGCATAGAGGTTGGTTAGGTGGGCCTCCCAGGACAGCTTCTTCTGCTCATGCCCATGCACCGCATTGCATTCATCCCCATACCCTTAACCCCCACTCGCCCTACCTTGCGGCCCAGCAGCGCGAGTGCGAGGCGGGCATAGAGGTTGGTGAGGTGAGCTTCCCACGACACCTTCTTCTGCCTGCACTCCGCCCTCATTCGCTGCACCCGCCTCATCTCCTTTGCCCCACCTGTGTGTTTCGTCGCTGCCGGCATCTCAATAACGTGGCTGTTTGCTACACTAGGCAGTGCTGCAGTGGAGGAGGTGCTTCCACGTGGCACTGAGGCTGATGTGGCATGCGACGGGTTCCCGGGGGTGGCAGTGGGGAGCGGAGGAGGAGGAAGAGGAAGACTGGGAGGATGAGGTGAGATGGGGAGGGAGATGACGTTTATCCCAAGCTTATTTCCCCACTGAAACAGGAGCACATGGGAACGAGGCAAGGCAAGAGGGGCATTTGCTCGCAGTTAGCAGGGCCTGAGCAGGGCGAAACTGGTCAATACTGGGCATATGGGAAAGAGGAGATTAGAGTAATGGGGAGTTGAGAGTGGTGGAAAGAGATGGAAAGAAACAAGGTTCCACTTACAACAGGTGGTCCCTTTCGTGTCCTGCTCCTTAGATCAGCCATTGTCACCGCTCTGAACCGAATAGCACCGCCCCTGCTGCTCCATCCATTTGACTTTTGGCGCTGCTCATTTGACTCAGGGTTGTGCCTTCCTGCTTGCACGTAGCTCTCTATGCCCGCAGCAATGACTGCCATCATAAGGTCGTTCACAGTCTGTGTGTGAGTCGTAGGGAGGGAGAAGGGAGAGAGAACAAAAATGAGGTACTGCTGGGTGCTGCTGGGTGCTGCTGGGTGCTGCTGGGTGCCGCTGGGTACTGCTGGGTTGACCCATGAGAGCCGGGACACCTGACTTGCACGCAGCTCTCTATGCCTGCAGCAATGATTGCCATAAGGTCGTTCACAGTCTGTGTGTGAGGGGAATAGGGGCAGGGTAAGGATGGGGATGGGGGAATGCAGAGAGCATGGGAAGAGGAACGCAACGGGAGGAGATTGTGGGAGTGGCGAGATGAAAAGTGAGGGTAAATGCCAAGGGTAAGAGAATGGGGCAAAGAGGGAGGACGAGAATGGAGGGAGAGATGAACACTGGATAGAATGGGGATATGGAGAGAGCAGAGGGGAGATTCAGATTTCAACCCTCAATGAGCCTCACCCCCACCCACCTTCCCCCCTCCCCCCCTCCCACTCACCGCTCCAAGTGCCTTTCGAACCCTAGCCACCCTCTCCATCTCAATCCCCTCAGTCACCGCAAAGCTTCTCGGAAGCGTCCGCTGGTCCTGCTTTCGCAGTCTTGAAAACGGCATGGCAGAGTGAACAGGCGTGCAGGGATGGTCTGAGAGGAAGAGGATGGTTAAGAGGAATTCAATCAGGTGAGCAACGGTGGCAATGGTGCATCGCCATGCCATTGTCGCCAAATGGACCATGTAGCTGCAGCGGTACGAGATGGTGCTGGTCCATGCAGCTACAGCTGAGGTTGCAGCAGCAGCAGCAGCAGCAGCAGCAGCAACAACCTTAGCTGCAGTTACCGTTGCAGGTGCAGTGTCAGCAGTCTCGGTGTTAGTGGCAGTGGCAGTGGCAGGTGCAGTGGCAGTTGCAACTGGTATCGGCACAGGAGGCTGAGTAACGTCAGTTCCCTGTGCTGGTGCAGACACACACTCAGCTGCCCTCTCCAGATTGCACCCCACTAGCGCCGTCAAAGAGTCCACTTGTAGTCTCACTGGAGGCGAGTCAGAGGCTGCTTCAGCTGCTGCTTCTGCTGCTGCTTCTGCTGCTGCTTCTGCTGCTGCTTCTGCTGCTGCTTCTGCTGCTGCTATACACTCCGACTGTCCTCTTGAATCTTGAATCATGATTCTGTGGCTGTTGTTGGTGCCGCTGATGCCGCTGGTGCGGCAGTTTCCGCTGCTGCTGCTGCTAGAGTCAAACCCGTTCCTTATCATCTCCACTCCTATCGCCTCGATGATGCTGCCGTTGCTGCCGTTGCTGCTGTTGCTGCCGATTTTGCTGGTGCTGCTAATGCTGCTGGTGCTGCTGGTGCCACTGGTGTCACTGCTGGTGCTGCTGCTGCTAGAGTCAGATCCGTTCCTTATCATCTCCACCCCACAAGAACGGATACTCCCATTGCTGCCATTGCTTCCGTTGCTTCTGTCACTGGTATCAGAGTAGTTGCGAACCATACCAGCACCAGAAGCAGCACTAGCAGCAGCAGCAGCAGCACCCGCATGACCTCCCTCGGTCTCACCACTGCTTTCCGCCAAATCACTCCCTACCACGCTTCCCGTCAAACTTTCCACTTCATCCCCTTCAGAAGCTG